TTTCAAAGTGAAGTGGACAGCTGGCGCAACCACATGGGACCATAGCACATATGCTAACTTATTCAGATTTTTTTAATTCATTTTATTTCATGGTGACATTTATTATCGGGATCTGTTTAATTGCACAACACATTGACAAACAGACAGCTCTTGGTTTCAGAAGATACACTGGATTACACCGATGTTATTAGAAACAGGATTATACAATTTTAGATTACAGGTCTGATTTATGTTGCGACTTAATAGTTATGTTATATTCAGGATTTTACCATACAATCATATGCAGGTATTTCTCCCTGCTCTAACCTGGTGGCTGGAAGAAATGGTGTGGGTTAAAAAATTGTCAATTGAAAAAATAGTCTAGTGGTTGTCAATAATAGAAGAAACGATGGGAGGGTAAGGATCAGCTACCCAGGAACAACTGGAAAGTTTGAATGAGCAATCTATTCACAGGTTCCCAATTTCCTGGAGAACCTTGTTCAGGGTGTTTCCCACACTCACCCGATCACTGATAGATTTAGGAAAAACTACCAACATCCGACAAGTGGTCAAATAAAAAAGTACTGACAATCATAACGTAGAGACAATGACTAGACAGTAGATAGAAAAGATAAACACGCAAAAATTCTAACCACTTGGAACGAACCATCACTTCACTATACTGTCACTACTTTGAAAAAAAAAAGGTCTCCACCATTCCATAGAATAACATCAGAGCAGTACATACAGTAGCCTCCTCCCTGATCTCTACCAGCACAACCACTAATGCATAAACTGTTACTAATACTGAACAAATGACCAAACACCTGACCAATGTATCTATTTAATGAATCTCCATAAACCTTATCTGTTAGGTTCATAAAATGAGCCATTTGTGATAACTTCAGTGAATTACTTCATCTCATTATAAGATAAGATAAGCTCTGTCATTTTCTACTTAATTATTCTCCTCCATTAATCATGGACAATGAAGTTCCCTCATTTCCACATCTCTGTTCTCTGTGTCTGTTGTGACATCATTTTGTACTAGACTATGTGATCTTTCCAGGTGGTGCGTCCATACCAGACTATGTCCAATCCACTGAGCAAGTTGACTGTTTTGAACAGTCTCCACTCACACTTCATCCTGGCTGACAACGGCACTACCGGAAAATACGGTGCCGAGGTCAAACTCCGGCGGCAGCTGGAGAAGCACATCAGCCTGCAAAAGATCAACACACGTGAGCACAACTTACTTTACTAATTTCTTTACGCTTGACTGACCTACCCTGTGTTTGAGCTGGTTTTTTGTTGAGATTTGTTGAGTTTTACACCGATGTGGGTTAATTGGGTTCAGAGTCAGCAATCAGACAGTGATGGATCACAGCTATTCTCTGCTGTGAACAGTAATTTTAGACAGCTGTGATGGAGCTCCATAATTGGCTGAAATCTGCCGTTGCTCTCTGAATAGCTCTTTTAACTTCTTTCAAACTTTCACTCAGACAAATGAAATGTTTTATGAATTTGGACTTACAAATAAAACTGACTCAACTCGTGAAGGCATTGCCAATACATTGTCATGTCAATCAAACAAGTACTATGAATAGTTTTCTGTTTATGTTTTTGTAATATCTGTTATACGACAGTAATAACCAATAACACTTCAGCTTGCGTCAGTTTGTCAGTCACAGACCTACATTTTTACCCTGCGCTCGGTGACGCTGTTCTAAAGTTGAAGCTTCTTTAGTTTTTCCACTGTAGTGGATATCAAATGGATAGATGTCCATGCTTTACAGGTGTTACAAAGTTAATGTTTGATTAAGTAAAAATTGCAATTGATACATTATTTTTGTCAGCCCTGCCAAAAAACAGGCAATAACTGTAACTGCATGCTTCCAGGTCTTATGTGCTGTTTGTAGTGTTTGTTAAATAATGAGTATGAATGTGTAATATTACATATGCCCTGGGTTTGGTTTTGGTCATCCTTCCAGCTTTCAGGCTCCTATTGCATCACTTTTAATTTTTAAATTTCAGACTCACAGTCGTATGGTGCAGAAAGTAGTCGGTGCTTCCAGCAAGAAGATCACACATTCTCTGTGTCTGTTCCCTGGTTCATTTGATTGGTTTTTTGCAGGGACTGTTTTTCTTCCATAGTCTGAACACAATTAAACTGGGGGGTTGGGTTAAATGAACACTGTACATGCAGTCCTTTGATGAACTAGAGAACTGTCCCTATTTTTTGTAGATGCAGTGACAAAAGTGGATCATGCCCAAATAGTTTTTTGTCTCTCACACTGTGAATCATGAAAAATACATTTGCCCTTGAATTTAGCTCAATGTTAAATATAATTCTGAATTAGAATAATAATAATTAAAACAATCATTGTATTTAGAATTACATATATTTTGTTAGTAAACAAGGTTCACTCAGAATGTGAATTGGACGGCAGGAAAAGAGAAAAGCTAGCAAGGTGCTAGCAAGAGTCAACCTGGGGCAACAGGAAGCTAACCATTCAGTCATATGACCTATGGGCTTCCCTTTGTCATCCTATGCCTGGGATTATAGAAAATGGGCTGGGAAGGCAAAGGGATGCCCAGTCGTCATAAAATCATCCATGGTAATCACTATTTGATCCACAGTATGACCTAACTTTTCATATTAAATCAATATATAGAGATCTCGCAATAGAAAATATGACAAAAGCTGCACAGTATGTGTGTGTGTGTGTGTGTGTGCTGTCATGAGAGTGGACCTGCTGCTGAGAGTTAGAAGTTAGTGATCAATTTGGTGAGCTAGATGTTAAGCATTTGCATAAAATAATGTGATTGAATGGAGCCCTCCTTGCCTTTAAGAAAGTTTCTGAAACTTCTGCAGCTTATACATTATGTGGTTTGTAAGTGCATGAAGCTGTTCTTCATAAAATAAGTGTTAGAATTGTTATTAATCAGGCTAATTTTGAATCTACTGCAAGTCTAACTCTCACTGAAATTCATGGATGTGTAATGTGTTTTAGCAATTTCAATTTTCTTAGTCTTGTCGTGGCCGGATGTACATTAAGCTTCTCACTGCATTAATATGAGTCTCTCAATTTTAGGTCAATCTATCCCTGGTTTTATTTATTTTGTAATTGGTTTTCCGCCTCTATGACAAACCTTTACTTTCTCATTCACTACTACACATGAGCAGAAAATGGCATTCATTGATTGGATTAGTTTAAAACGAGGAGTGCATTAATCTTCCTCTCAGCCGGGCTCTCCTGTGATCTTGTGTAGCCAAAGGTTCAGTCAAACAAAGAGCGAATAAAGAGAGTAATGGACAAGGAAGCGAAGCAGTTCAGTAAGAAAGGCTTTCACATGTGTGGCTCTTTGACCATTTATAACCACATGCCCTTTATTTACTTCACACAGTCACAGGTTGCAGTCAGGGCTGTCACGCCTGTGGTGAATGTATATAAATAATCTGACGCTGTAGTATTTCTGTGATGTCTGAGTCCACCTGAGGCTGATTCTGCTGCTGTGGCTGATTGCAATTTTCATGTAACGACATCTTGTTCATGTGACCAATAAAATGGCTCACATGGAGTTATAACTTTGTCAACAATTCACATCTTGACATATGTGGATTATTATTATTATTATTATTATTATTATTATTATTATTATGTAAGTTGATAATGTAACAAATGCGTGGAAACAGCTTTTACAGCAGCGCCTTGTATCTTTAGCTTCTTTTTTTATGTTCAGAGCTGCTGATAATCAGTGTAAAATGTTTATGCTTGGCTGAATTTTCTGCCATTCCTCCTGTTGTGGGCTTTGTGGTTTGTGAAACATGACATTATCCCAAACAGCTGCAGTCTGTTTTTAACCAAATATGGATTTCTTAGGATCAGGCTCATGTTTTAGTATTGTCTGAGGATTGGAAAATAATTTGCTCTTGCACAAAAAAGTATGCAAGGATATTTGTCCTCCATCGTACTTTCCCCTGGTGCCCCACAATAGTATATCACACAGAACACAGAGCACTGGTCATTAAAATTAACACATTTCTGTGGCAAATCAGGGCAGCCATGAGGACACATGTCAACTCCATTATCAGAGCACAGCTTTGTGTTTCCTGACAGCCTCACAAGATGACTGCACACATCCTCTCACATCTTCAACAACTATACAGCAGGATTAGAATATCTAACAGACAGCTCTGTTCAGCTGTAAATAAAGTAAATACCTAAAGAAAAGGAACCTGATTTCTGAGACTTTAAATAAAATAGATGGAACCACACATTGAAACACTGAGTACAAGCACATTTCTGCACGGGCATCTCTCTCTCTCTCTCTCTCTCTTTCTCTCTCTTTACCTCTCTTGTGATATGGATGAGCTTGAAAGAACATGTAGAGACATGCAAATGCAAATGAGCCTGGATTACATTAATGAGAACTGGGACTCTAAAACATGACTGACATGCAAAGGGACAGAGATTATGCGCAGCAACCGTGAACATTTATTGCATAATTGCGTACCAATGCGTTTTATTACTAGATTTATAGATCATGCTGCACATCCTGGCTGTAGATGATTTAATAGAACCAGACAAAGTAATGTGGTTCAGTGCTGTAGATGCAGAGTGTAGCCACAGGGGAATATGTGGAGATGCTCCATTGGCAGAAGAATAGAATAGAATATAGATTATAATAGAATATTTAATATTTTATTCTCTTCCTGTAGCTTATAACTCATCTATTTTTTTAGACAACAACTTTGTACAACTTTATGAAAACAATGTGATAACAACAAAAGTACCTGTTTACTCTGACTCTCTTGTCAGATTAGTCAACGTGAAAAAAAAAAATCAGAAGTCGTCAATGTCCTGTGTCATTTAAACACAGTGATGGTGCACCATTCACCCTCCAACTTTTACTACAGATCCCTTTTTTATTTTTTGTAACAGACCTGGATATGTAAAATTGACCCCTTCTGGGAGACACACTCAAAGACATTTCATCCTCCTACCATCTCCTGAAGCTGGAGTTAATCATCAAACTTGGACATATTGGAAAAAGAAATCAATAAATCCACTGGCACTATTCAGCACCGCTCACTCAAACGCTGCTCAGCTCGTCTGACGCTTTTCCTGCTGCTACTTTGGTGCTTTTCAATCTCTCTAACACACACACACACACATATAACAAACACAGAGGAACTTCAGAGGAAGAACAGAAAATGGGCAGAGAAAAAAAAATATATGGAAAAACACTAGCGTTAAGGGATTTTATTGCCTTCACTGAATAGAGGCAGGAGAGAATGAAAAGACACACCGGGCAAAATTAAACATATACATCCACCAATGTTCTCCATTTTACCAGTCAAATATAATTCAATTCATTCTCAGGCATAAAAAGTAAAGGATCTGTAGATCTTCCAATGTAATTTATAAAAACAACAGTATGTTGGAAATGTAGCATTGTCTTTTGAAAGGCAGGCGTAAGAAAATGATTTCTGTTGCTGTAATGGACCAAAAGGAAAAAAAAAATCTGTTACAGATTTATGGCCCATCGATTTAAAATCAGATTCACTTACAGTTACATCTTGCTTTCATCTAAAGCTGTGGCCTGGAACTCAAACAAGTTTGGGGCAACAGTTCCCACCATCGTTTCATTAGAGGGTTACGTCACAGCACAAAAAAAAAAAAGCTTTTTGTTTAATAAGAACACCTTATAATACTATATTGCAAACAACAAAAACCTTTTTTCACTTTTGGATGACCAACTAATGTATTGCAACTTGCAACCAGAAATATCATTTTGTGAGGGGTTTGTGGGCTGGGAGCACCCTCAGGCTGAGAGTTGGACACTGCTGTTCTAAATCCAAGCGGAACCTTTGGTCTCCACTAAATGTTTTTGAATTACACAGCTGTATTAGCTCTCATGTTCTCATACTGTAGGTGTCACCTAAGTCTATGGCTGATACACACTCGACTGTGTCACCTTCACTAACCCTGTCTAAGGAGCGTTTTCATTACTCACAGCATACTTTAACAAAGATGAGGTAACGGAGGTGATTGAATTCACATACTGTAGGAACATGCGTCGAAGATTACCCGTGACACTGTGACCTCAACGTGCAGAAGCACATACAGAAGAAATTATGGTTAAGCTGTGGTACAAGGAAGGACAAATGGGGTGTAGCACTTGGAATTAATGAAAGTTGTTGGTGCCGAAAAATACGTTATTCAGCAACCACTAT